TTTCGCGAAGCTCTTATAATTAGGCAAGTATTGCGCTATTTCCCGAGTACTTACTCGCGATTGTACTCGTTAATCTGGTCTGAACCCGGCTTTATGTACAACGTGTGTGGTCACTCTCATCGCTCATATACGCATACACGCGAAAGATGTGTGCGTAACGTGGAGCTGTAAACGCGCTCGATCCTCGTCCTGTGTTTTGACGTGACGGACTGATCACCGAGTAAAACGATTTCGCACGCTGTCCGTTTCCGAAACACAATTATTTTCAGCCGCGTGCCGATCGATTCGACCACGGATATTAGCCCCCCGCTTTATCGTCCAGTACTTTAGCGATCTATTCGAGAATGAGGACTATTATCCCGGACTTGATGCGATTCCGCCGATAAGTGCCGTAATGAAAAAGACGGATCAAATTGCCGATTTGTCGCACATGATCAATTACATCTGACATTTTGCGCGCATCATTGAAACGCGCACGTGAAAAGGGGACGTTGAAGAAGGGGATAAGCAAAGTTGCACAAGATGCGGAAGCCGCGATGTGTATTTCGAGCCGCAATAATTCTATCACGGAGACACGCATACGGTACCTTTTAGTACGCCAAGTATATCGGATGATGCAATTTTCGGTGCTATTTGAAACTGTAATTTGACATTTTTCCTGTCCGCGCGAAATCATCGGTGTCGCACGCATTTTTCGAGGTCCCGTGTGTGTGTCTTCACTTACTATGAAATAAAACTATGAATAAGATAGCGTAGGTGGATCTTGCGTGACCAGCTGTTTTTGCGCGTGATTGTACACATAGTTGAACATCTACGTAACATTTTCATCTTTCAACTATATATCGCGCGCAACAACATTGCAATCTTGAGCATTATGTCATTATTTTCATATAAGCATTATATTCCAATATCGCCGCAATCTTGCTGAGGATTCTGTAATATCTCTACGAGATTGATAAGATTAAAATGTTATTTATATAATAGTGAAAGGTTCCAAGAGATAATGATATTATACTGGCTGATGTATGTATGTACATATATTTAAATAAGTAAATTATATACGATTGAAAATGTTTAATCATAAATATACATAGCGAGATTCGATCTACATTGAAAAAAAACTAATTGATAACCGTTATTAAAAATGCATCAAGTTACAAATTTTAATTTTAAATATTTGATAATAGTTACGAAATTTTACGTGGCTTAACTACAAACAAATCTTGTTTATATATAGTGTTACGTCAACTAAATAGGTTAATAACAATAATTAAATGTTTATATCTATTACCAAATATTTGATAAGTATTGATCAATCATTCGGTTTATTGTTATCAGATATTCGATTACTAAATCATTTATGTTAGTTTAGTCACATATTTTAACAATTATCAATTTTTCTCATTGTCGGTGAAGCAATTTAGAAACGTGTTCAAATTGAGAGAGCAAAAAGTCTTTTTAAATAGTAGTTAACAAATACCTGATAATACTTATCTTATTTAGAGTTGAGTCAATTATTTTAATTCTTCGAGTTAAAAGTACTTTATTTACCCAATTAAATTAATCTATAATTGTTGTTGCATAACTTTTAGTTGCCACTATTTCCTCGCATCATTTAGCTGTTATATACTAGTTTAATAGCTGATATATTTGCCAACTTATTACATTAAGTCGTGATAAGTTATATCTTTTTTTGTCAATATATGTATACGTAAAGTAATATCTCCGCAAGGTTTATTCGCGCGCAAGATGCAAAGTACGAGGACCCGAAAACGGCTATCTGACCCCGAAACCGAGTTGAGCGAAATCGTTGGAAGACGCGTTCGGCCGTTTGACGACTCATTGTCTGACTGTCGCGTCAGATCGCGAAGAACGTAGAGGTACATACAATCTCTCGCATGCCACGGCGTACACGTCTCGTTACGTAGCGTGACAGCGTTGACCCCCTTTATAACGCAATAAATCAATTACCGTTTATTATTAAGAGAAATCTACGCTTAATCAAATCATGTTACTTAACCCCGAGAGTCACGATGAGAGCCAGAACAGACGGCAGCATTTTTACAATCGGGCACGACGTTCCAAATTTTTTTTTCTTACGCAGCCACCACTTAACCCGCCGTGGGACCGCGCGGCAAACCTTACTCCCGTCGACGATGCGAATTACGATTCTTCGCGTATATTTCCAGCATCACGTTTATTAAGAGAGACCGAGAGTATTCTTACTTGGATAAACGTGCAGAGTTACCAAACAATTGCTTTTTTTCCTCTTTCAAAGAGACATCCTTAATGCAGTTTTCTTTCAAATGCGGGCGTTTATTAAATTGTAAATTTTTTTACGTAGAACGATATATATACTATATATATATATATATATATATATATATTTTTTTTTTTTTTTTTTTTTTTTTTTACATTAATCGACTTTTTTTACATCAATTTCTTTTCATCGTGCTGCCTTTAAAGGCCTTAAAAGGTAAAATCATCAAAAACATGAATATTATATTTTACATCACAATATACATGTTAAAATAAACTATCATGTTTCGTATTAATTTTGACTGTATTTTTTATTACACGCGAAGGGAATGAGAATATAAAATTATGTCAAAACACATGTAATAACACAGGATATTTTCATCAAAATCTATATACTTTTCCTCTGGCGACTTCATTAATTTTATCGCTATAATAACTTTTGTTTGAGAAATTTTTCGAAAAAATACATATTTTATGAGTAATAATATATTTTTTAATGAGACTTATCCTGCAGGTGCACAATAAGATATATGTACCTATCTAATATAGAATAATTATAAATTTTAATTTTCAAGATTAGTATAAAGATATAATTATAAGGGAGATTTAATTATCAATAAAGTGTATTTCAATTTTATTTTACATTTGTTACATATTGTAGGTATATGCATATATTTTTATAATTTTAAATCGTTTTCAAAAGAGATAATATCACCATGCAACAGGATATCGCATGTGTTTTCTGACTTCTTCTCCCTTTCTTTTTTCCCTATCATATAGTTTGTTCCTGGCAGGTACACCTAGTGTATACCTAGCTTTTCGCATAATGAAAAACAACGTTTAGCTCTCCGGGATCGCAAACGATGCGAATATTGCCTGTGGACACACATACACGTATGTATATTATATGCACACACACACTGGTTGGTTGGCTCGCTCTTAACGGTTTACCTTTCTGTGAAAGGTTTGCGGCAACGCGGGGAGAACACGTTTTCTCACCGAGCGCAGAACACATCCAGACATCTCATTGTAGCGGACAGTTTTATATACAATTATAACATTGTCGATACAGCTTTACTATACCGCGAGCGAGTTGCATTCCGAGATCACCCAAGGCATATTCCAATAATTTGTAAAAATCGCGCGCACGTTATCACACGATACGTTACAACGTTAAAAATATTCTCCAAAGATATTGTCACGGAGCGTCATGACCCCGGATAAGAGTTATATAAAAATGTATAGAGCGGTGGGTTCGCGAAAAATGCGCATAAAGATGAGTGCATATGGTACCCACGAAAAACGTCACTCGCGTAACTAGTATGTAAGATGCATGCTAAACGGTGCACTTTGCATAATTTTCTTTAAAAAAGAGAAAAAATGCAAAGAAAAAAAAATACGCTCGCTGAGCATAAAATTGGTGGCTGAGAGATAAGAGTACAGGCTATTATATTGTAGTACATGATCTTCACTCTCGATGTATATTTTATCGTTCAAAATAATAATAATAATAATAATAATAATAATAATAATAATAATGAAACCCGTGAGTAAATAAACTTGATTAATAATCCTGTAAAAACCTCGGGACAAACATCGATGTTCGTTGTTCGGCAAATGTTTTCTTCACGAAGCGATATCGTCGGTGAATTCAATCAAGCTGACGTACAACTCATGGAATATACACATATTTATTCAATTATCAGTTAAATTCAATTTGCGTAGAAAATATCATCCGGCGTTTTTTTTTTCTCTCTGTATTTTTATTGCAATTTTATATGTATAAATCAGAGACAAGTGCGCGATTTTTTAAAAATGAATTTATATGGCCTCGTGTTTAAATTATAAAAAACCGATGCCGAATGTTTTAATCGTTTGAATAAATAAAGCTTTCGATATATATTTTTATTGATACGTAATACTCCGCAAAATTAAAAAAAAATCTCTTGGCTATTGTGAGTTGAAACATATATTATCATGCAAATATGTTATCGCATAGTTAGCGAATTACAGGTCGATAAGATATAGAGCCCATCTTGTGAAATGTGATGTCGTCGCGCATCAGTGATTTTATATTTTCGGTAACATTTGCATTTGTTTGTAAAGTTTTATTTTATGCTATGTAATTAGTGTTTAACAACCTCTCCCGAATGTGTGTAATTATAAAATACACATATATATATAATATATATATATATATATATATTCTTGCATGTAATACCGTTTAGAGAATGTAAATACACACACGTACACGGTATATATATATATATATATATATATATATATATATACGTAATGGTCAAGATAATTTATCTGCAAGTCATACTTTTTAAATGTGCGACACTTGGTACCGCTTGAATGCATTATAAATAATCATTTAATTGATGGCTACGTATATAAAACGTCATTCGTGAAAATACCATCATAATTTCCACGGTGCGATAGTCAGGTTTATATCGCGTACATTTTCCTTCGGTGTACTTATAGAGCGAGCGTGTATCTTATATAACGAGCCTGAAATTAATGCTTCTGCAACGTGCAAGGTATAGTGTCTCATCTTTCTCCTCTAATTATTACGTTCGAGTAGACTTATCGGCGATAAATTTTCAGTTGGAAATCAACGTCGAGCAAATTGTCGGGCTGGATTGAATTTATAGATAAATTTATAGATATGTAGATAATGTGTAAAAAAAAAAAATATAGAAAATGTCTAATATAAATCGCGCTCTTTTTCGTTGCAGAAGGACAGACCGGGCAGATACCGGCGAGGAAGCGAGATAATCATCGATATTACGGGTAGAACGTGCACTGATCGCGATTGGGTCAGGCTGCGAATCTCGAGCGTCGGCGCGCAACGGCTGCGCGTAACTCTCAATGGGATCGTTTAGTGCGGTGACCTGCCGGCGGTGCCGATCTTTCAGCACAGTCGACTGATAACTCGCGCGCGCAAGCGCGCGCGCGAGTGCAACCGTGCGTCTTTCTCTGTCCGGCTTGTTTCGTGCGACACGCCCACAGAGTCTCTCCCGTGTGCGCGGTTACGTAGGGTCAACGAGGCCCGACGCCGACAAACACGCCTCGGGCAACGTCGAGAGAAGATGCGGGACGTCTTCGAGCGGTCGTCGTCGAGTTTGTCGCCGCATTAACGCTCGAGTTCTCCGTTCGTACGTACATAACGAAACGACGGTGAGAAGAGAGATGCGAGCGAAACCGAGCCGCGACGCTCTTCTCATCCCTACGATCTGAGAGAGAATTCGCGAGCGACGAAAGCGCGTTGATACTTGACTTTTCTTCTCCGACCGGGAGACAGAGATCCGAGATTTCGCGTTCTTCCGGGAAGATGAAGTCTCCGGCCGCGTGTCACAGAATCCGCGGCGGGGCATTCGACGAATCGTGCACCTCGACCGCGTACACATCCTCCTCCTTTTCTTCTTCTTCTTCTTCTTCTTCGGAAGCACGTCTCGTCACCCGCTGCCACTGCCATTGCCCGTCGTCATCGTCTACTTGCGGCGTATTCGAGGATGCGTCGAACGGTGCATCGTCGACCACCCAGCGGTTGTCGGGGTCGACGTCGACGTCGACGACGGGGTGCGATCTTTGCGAGCGTCTTCGCGGCCGAACGGACGGCTGCTCCGCGATGGTGGACGCGATACGAACAGAGGAGCACTTTGGCCAGCGCGATTGGCGAAAACGCGACGAGAGTGCGAACTCGAGAGCAAGAGTTGTTGAAAAGCGCAACAGAACACTGAGCTGCGACAGACTCCCGAGATGTGCTTCGAGCGTTGTGCGATGGAACCACCTTGCCGCCAAATTCAGAGGCGAGTCCACGGACTGGCGGAGGCTCCTCCGGATCGTTTTTCTGCTTTTTCTCGCGTTATCTCCCGATCTGGCAGCGGCACAGAGTCAGGACACCGTCGTTGCTCCCCGCAAAGGTGAGTTTAATCCAAAGATTACCTTATTACTGCTTGATAATTTACATCTTCTTCGAGTAGCTCGATAACTTTATCAAAACTTTTAACGCGAGATACATATTTCAATTTCAACCGGGTGTAGAGAGGAGCCAGATGCGGGTAATAGTGCGTTATTTTCCAGGAAAATTAATTTTCCATTGAAATTAATTAATTGTGCACAAAGTAGAAATTTTCTTTGACGCGAGAGATACCAAGAGTAATTAAATATTTTAATTCGACATTTTTTATTTTTATTTAAGACTCTTCGGAGGAAGCAACTTATATATTTTATGCTTTGAGTGTATATAATATTAATACGCAGTATACAGGTATAACTTTTGGGAACCCAAAGTCCCTTCATTGGCGGCTTCGCTTGGACTGTCTGTATATCATCTGGAATCTCGTGGTTTCTAAAGAAGGGCCATAAAACTCTGGCCAAAAGATTAAATTTCTGTCCTTTCTCTCGTGCTCTCTGCATACAGACACACTGTGTGTGTCCACGCATATCCTTAAATATTATTATTGTCACTCCGATAAATTTTCTTTTTCTTCCTTTTTTTTTTTTAATTGCACTATTATCCGCATCTCTTTTCATTAAAATTTAAAAAACTAATAAATTCACTTTTGTCGTTGAATAAACGCGTTGAAGAAGAGACTGCGTTTGTAAAGTACATAAATCGATATGTATGAATGATTCGCGCCAAGTGGGAATTAAAATGCGCATTTGAAATCCGAATCAACAGTGAATCGCCGCTCTTATTGGTCAATCTTTTATATTACATCCTCGTAAGGCTTCATAAGTCTCTTGAAAAGAGGGAAGGAGAATGCGAAGGTGTGTATTGTTGCGATCGTGTAATATAATATGTTGCGTTCAGAGAAACAGGTCAGACCGAAACGCCTGTATGAAGTTAGCCCCCCATTTTTCGAATTTTAAAATTTTAAAGGTTGTTCCAGGTTGTTCTAGACTTGTTCTAAATTGTTCCAAAAGATCAAATTTAAAAAATAAAAATTTTCGCGAAAAATGGAAAAAAACGATTTTTTGACCTGGCCCCCCATTTTTCGAAAATCGAACTTTTAAAGGTTGTTCCATATTGTTCTAGTTGTTCTAAACATTGTTCCAAAGTGATAATTCTCTAAACAAAATATTTCACGAGATATAATAAAAAAATAGTTTCGTGCGCTAAAACAGTATATTTACGTTTTCGGCTATAGTTATTATCTCTTAAACACCAAACTGTATATTTTAGCTAAAAACGAACAGAACAACCTGGAACAACTCTCAATTTTGCTAGAACATAATTTTAAAGAGTACTTTACTCTTGGAAATAAACATATTTTTGTTGTTTTTTCGTGTTTTTCAACCGATAACGACGTGACAGCGGTCCCAAACTATACAACAATTACGTACTGGTATAGAACAACTTGGAACAACTCTCAGTTTTGCTAGAACATTATTTTAAAGGGTACTTTACTCTTGGAAATAAACACATTTTTTTTGTTTTTTCATCTTTTTTGCCCGCTAAAGTCGCGATAGCGGTCCCAAACTATAGAACAATTACGTACTGGCATAGAACAACTTGGAACAACTCTCAGTTTTGCTGGAACATTATTTTAAAGAGTACTTTACTCTTGGAAATAAACACATTTTTTTTGTTTTTTCATCTTTTTTGCTCGCTAAAGTCGCGATAGCGGTCCCAAACTATAGAACAATTACGTACTGGCATAGAACAACTTGGAACAACTCTCAATTTTGCTAGAACATAATTTTAAAGAGTACTTTACTCTTGGAAATAAACACATTTTTCTTGTTTTTTCGTGTTTTTCGACCGATAACGTCGCGACAGCGGTCCCAAACTATAGAACAATTACGTACTGGCATAGAACAACTTGGAACAACTCTCAGTTTTGCTAGAACATCATTTTAAAGGGTACTTTACTCTTGGAAATGAACACATTTTTTTTTGTTTTTTTATCTTTTTCGCCCGCTAAAGTCGCGACAGCGATCGTAAACTATAGAACAGTTACGTACTGGCATAGAACAACTTGGAACAACTCTCAATTTTACTAGAACATGTTTATTTCCAAGAGTAAAGTACTCTTTAAAATTATGTTCTAGCAAAATTGAGAGTTGTTTCAAGTTGTTCTATGCCAGTACGTAATTGTTCTATAGTTTGGGACCGCTATCGCGACTTTAGCGAGCAAAAAAGATGAAAAAACAAAAAAAATGTGTTTATTTCCAAGAGTAAAGTACTCTTTAAAATAATGTTCCAGCAAAACTGAGAGTTGTTCCAAGTTGTTCTATGCCAGTACGTAATTGTTCTATAGTTTGGGACCGCTATCGCGACTTTAGCGGGCAAAAAAGATGAAAAAACAAAAAAAATGTGTTTATTTGCAAGAGTAAAGTACCCTTTAAAATAATGTTCTAGCAAAACTGAGAGTTGTTCCAAGTTGTTCTATGCCAGTACGTAATTGTTTTATAGTTTGGGACCGCTGTCGCGACGTTATCGGTCGAAAAACACGAAAAAACAAGAAAAATGTGTTTATTTCCAAGAGTAAAGTACTCTTTAAAATTATGTTCTAGCAAAATTGAGAGTTGTTCCAGGTTGTTCTGTTCGTTTTTAGCTAAAATATACAGTTTGGTGTTTAAAAGATAATAACTATAGCCGAAAACGTAAAAATACTGTTTTAGCGCACGAAACTATTTTTTTATTATATCTCGTGAAATATTTTGTTTAGGGAATTATCACTTTGGAACAATGTTTAGAACAACTATTTACAATAGAGTCTATTCGGTATTTTAAAAAGACGAAGAAATTACATTCACCAATACGTAAACTCTATGTGCGTGTCGCAACGCACAGTGTATCCAAAAAAAAGGGGCTTTTGATAATATTGACTTTTCGTGTCACATTCGTGTAACAAAATTAACAACGCGGACGTGCATCGTGTAACACGCACGCGAGAATGCAAAGAGAATCGACATCCGTAGATAAATAAAACATGCAAAAATGCACATTCACATTGCAGTAATGCAACAGTTTCTCTACTTAAACTCCAATATTAATTGGCCGGTAATTGAGCGGCGGAAAAAGGTGTGAGAGTAAAAGGAAATTTGTAAATCTGTTTATGATCCTGTTTAAATGTGAACAACTGACCTTTCGAGAAAAGTGATAATTCTTCGATAACTTTTCGGCGATTGTGAAAACACGGCGAAAGTCCGAGATGAAGAAAGCACAAATGTGTATGGTTTTTACGGGTTTTTATTACGAGATTTTTTGCACTCGCGCGTTGAAATGATTGACGAGGGTGATCATCCTCGTAAAGAGTGCGCGGACCAAATTCCTTACCTTTTTTTTCCACCACCTCTAACTAAGCTAAATGATGGCTTAAATGAAAGTTTATGGTTCTAGTAGATTAATCCTAAAAAATATTATGTCACGAGGCGAGCGAGCGTTCCAAAGAAATAAATGATCCAAAAATCCGTTAGCAACAGATGGGTGACAAATTTCACAAAGAAGTCATTCGAACTTTTGTTAGAATTAATAAAACTAATGTAAAGTTTCAATCTAATATTTCTCGGGGTTAATGTCTCCTAGCCATCAATTTTCATTTAAGCCGTCATTAAGCCAACTTGGAGGTAGTGGAAAAAAAGGTGAGAGACTTTTTCTACAGACGACTTGATCGCGCTCTTTCTCTCTACCGCACAAATCGTTTCGATCCATTTTCACGTTAATTTATTCGGAGAATTTCCAACGATATATTCATCGATCGTTTAACGCGAGGGAACTGATTCTCGCCAGTGATTAAAATTCCGCTACTCAAACGGCAATCCCACCGATCTTTACGTAATGCGCGCGACGGAGTTTTTCCCGCAGAAGAACGTGTAGAACAATATAGTTACGGTGTGTGATAGCGCCACTAATCGCGCCAAGTCTAACGATGCTTCTTACAAGAACGCACATTCCTGACACTTGTTAGGAACGAGAATATAAATCGACCCAAGGAGAAGAGGAATGGCTCGCCGCATGTTTTAGAGCATGCACCCAGGAGAGGTTATCGCGCTGGTTTTATATTCTCTTTTCTTCTCTCCACCGGTTGATTCCTGGAAGTTTGTTTGTGTATGTGTCGCCTACGCACAGGTCTGCTGAAGCGACACATAAAGAGCGGCGGCGACCCAAGGTGCACGCCCTCGTATGAATGACCATGTCTTAACACGTGTGATAATTCACACGTTTGACAATTCACACGTTTGATGACATTTCGAGGGTCTATAGTCGCGGAGCTTTCAATCGCTATTTTTGTTTTCATCACTCCGCGAAACACGACATACAGATTTTATTGTCGTGTTTTTATTATTGGAGTGGAAAAAATTTTCGAGTAATATTTACATAACGTGTACATGCAATTGGAAGATATATATTCTCAAAGTAATATTTATATAACTCACAGTCAACAATTTTAATCCTCAACCTTCGGTTTGCGCGCGTCAAAGCGTTTTGGCTTCTCCGTCAAATAGGCCATCGATACTCGCGAATGAATCATTCTTATACGAAGCGAAGAAGCCTCCTTCTCTCGTGAGCAATATGCCTAAGAGCGGTAGTCTGCAAAAAAACATGTTTGGTCTGGTTTGCGGTTAAATAATAGTTCATGCGCCGCATAATAGACGTGAGAATTCCGTATACGGATATGATCGCGTACTATTATCGCTGACATGCACACAGAGGTGCTTATTCATGCTCATCGAAGAGCGTATATAGTCAAGCCGGTAGTCGATTCACTCTCTGGAATGTCGCTCGGAGCGGGTTCAAGACTTCAATCTCGCACGGACCAGCAACGGTTCATGGTCCATGCGCTTCCTTAGTTTCGATCACGATAATGGTCTATGGATTGGTTGGAGGTCGCCACCGAGAAATACGATGGTATGATGACCACGATCGATCAATGCCTCGATAGATCCAGATAAGATTCATTATTTGATTATT